TCTGTGAAGTATCACTAATGTACGGAAGAAAGTGATAAAGGGATAAACAAGCAGAACGTAGCCAAAAAATCCATGCTGACAAATCAAACATTCTTGGGCTAGGGGTTTGGAGAAAACATTGAAATAAAGCTTTTCGTCACTGTATGGGTTGCCGTGCGATCAGGTGGCTGTTTCCTTGAGACTGCGCTTCCAAGGATGCAAAACCCTGCTGAACAAACCGCCCTGGCCTTGAGCTATTCAACGCCTTGTAACTAGGCCAAGACAGTCTTCAAGACTGCGACAAAATCTTACCTTTGCAGGTTTTTGTGGCAACAGTTCGCGCAAAGGACGATTACGACGCAGAAACTTCCTGTTCGACCTATAAAAAACGTGATTTCATTGTTCTGATCTCCAGAAAAACTTACACCAGGGAAAATAAATGAGAAGTCTGCTTGAAATTTTCACCTGTTCTGATTCATCAAGTCAATATACTGATTTCGACCGATACCTAATAACCTCACAGCATCCGCAGCCGTGAAGTTCGGCAAAGAATCATACGACTTCTCAGATTGTATCATATCCTTGAAATAGACGAATTTCTGATACTGACTACTGATTCAACAGTGTAACTTACAGTAATAATGTTAATGTAGTAATTGAAAGGTGTTATTCGCAGTTCCTTCACAATGATGTCAGCAAGATGATAGGGGTAGAGCATCAAGTGTGATTCGCTGTACTTGATAATCATATCGTAATACGTCTCCTCACTTTTCTTCACATGTCGCACTATAACAAAATATAGAAGAGCTGGAAGCGTTAAGAACTCATTCCACTAAAAAGAGAACTAGGAAGAAGTCACAAAAAAAGATACTAATCCAAAAAGCAACATACCTAGATTTCCTTTGTACCGTAATTGATTCTTAATCGAATACTCCAACACCAGTTTGTCATATTCTCGTTGTGAGTTGCCCAGTAAAACTCGGATATCCTCCGGCAGCTTTTGCCATATGATATTCTCTCGTATGCACGTATCCACATCCATGGATTCGAGCACGACGTCAGTAATCTCTTCTACCTTTTCGACACACTCTACACTACACCTAGAATGTTCTGAAATCATGGAATTGAAGTACTGCTGAAATTGACTGTCTACAAATGAGTGGAAGAGAGAATGAGACAGGTCTTGGTTAAACCATGTTTGCGCAGAAAACATCTCAAAATAATTTGTTTATCATATGGTAAGTTGCATTCGAAATTATTACTGTCAGTAAATGATGTTATATCTATTGGTACAGGTTGACCCATGCGAATTTATTCAGAAATGAAGCAAAGGTACATATGAAGTCAAATGCGAGACATGAGCGATTCCAAAAGAGAAAGCGCTAAACCTGAATAAGTAGTCGAGACTATTAAGGAGCTTTGGATATGATACAATGAACAGTTCACCTTTGAAAAACGAGTGCAATAAGTAAATCTCTGACTATGAAAATATAATCGAAGTATCTAAAAACAATGGAGATCGTTGCCTATAGAGATTGTACAGCAATAATAGACTAGATTAAGCTAGTGTAAGCTTTAAAAGAAATACGACAACTACTGGAAAAATTGCGGCACCGTACCATGATGCTTGAGGCAGTGATATGCAAAGCGATCGTGACGCCAAAATCTGGCAGTACACCCTGGAGCGGTACACTCCAATTCTCGCATCTTCAGGTGTTCACGAAATACGTGCGCATCCAATTTTTCTTGTCGCATAACTGAATTTCACACTTTTTGCAATGACATATTGTTTCTCGTCGTTATTATAAAATTAATTAAAGGACCACAAACTTCACAAAATGAAGGAGTGGGTGCATGATGAAACCAGAGGCGGTATTCAATCCTTCTCCCAGGGGTTGAGGGACGGAAATCCCTTTAAATTTATTTGTTTTCAACAATGTGGTTTCTCCATTTCCAATTCATGCTTACTGTGACATAATATTTCACTAAACTAAGCTTCTGTCTCAGGCATACAGAGGAGACGGAGAAATTTAAAGGGTTTTTCGTCCCAACTCCTAGGGAAGGATTGACACGCCCAGCGCATCACATGATCCGAAAAATCACGCAATTCAGAAAAATAAGTAAAGTAGGAGCTCAGCACCAGTCACGTAGAAAAGTATTGAAATGTTCCAACACCCTAAAGCATTTCCACGCGAGCCATCGCGAAAAACACTTCTGACATACCTGTGTGAGCGCGTATATGTCGCACTAGATTGCTCTGCACTTTGAAGGACTGATTACAGTACTTGCACTTGTACGGAGCCTCACCCGTATGAATACACCTGAAAACAGCCCAACATCGTAATAACAAATAAGCATTTTCCGATCGGAAAAAAGTCAAAGCTAACCTTATATGCTTTTCAAGCCCACTCTTTTCCTTTGATCTATGGTCGCAATATGGACATTTAAACGGTTTCTCCATCATCACCTATAAGATCTGAGCAATCAACAAAAAAATTTGAAAAGCAACCAAAATATGCACGGATATCGGAAAATATTTCCAGTTCTGAATGGGGTGGGCTATGATGCAGCAAAAAAAAGCGAGCAGCAAAATCTTGAAAAGACCAAGAGAAACAGTTAATCCCCATAAACTCTTCCCATCTTCCTACTGAACCCAAAACCTTGCCGAAAAGAGAGGAATTAAAAGGTGGTGATGCCAGCTTTCAAGATAACATAAGCAAAATATGACAGGACTTGGATCATCATTGAGCTACGAAGAAGTCTAGAAGTGTCTGCATAAAAGTCAATGTAAATAACCTTGTAGCTCGGCGCTCATGTCCTTGGGGGAGGAGAAGGAGGCATTCAAAACAGCACATTTCGAAGCCCGCTGGTAGGCGTAGGCGACACTAGGACTAAGTCCAGAAGAGGGAAGAAACGCCAGGAGAACAAATATTGCTAACGTCCTCCCCAGAATCCCTTCTCCCCCTAAGGCTTAGTCCCAAGTTCTGTAAGTGTTTCACTCACTTCAATATCCCCACCCCCACCCCTAACTACACGAACGCTTGTAGCTCGAATACTCACCCTTTGATCGCCCACAATCAGTGGAACAGTGACATCACTGGTACCGACAATTTCTGGGAGACCGTAACCAAAACTATCGATATCTGATGTTCTTCTTTCATTTTCTTGAAGGAACGACATTGTAACTGCTGGCACAGTAGCATCTCCATTCTTGCCATCAGCTGAAGAACCAAGTAGACAGAAAGCTCAAGCAGAATATTAGTCAAAAAACCAAATATCAGTACATGACACAGGAGAGTACATTGCCGACTGTTATAAGCAGCTATGCAAACATAGAAATTTGGCGAACGACAGACATTTCAACATGGGCTAGGGAACTTCAGTGAAATGCAGGCTGTTCTCAATCAATAAAAAGGCTTATCATATCCTTGATAGAGTAAATACAAGCTCAAAAGGTTTGGACGGTCAAACATAACTATTAGGTTCAGTGACTTTGAAATGTCGCTTCCTTTTGTGTCTTTGTTTCTCAGCTAAACACAACCTCGTAATATGGGAGACCATTCATTCGAGAGAGCGATTCAGCACGCATATTGCGAAATCTTAGGCGCCAGTGAGCGGATGTTCTTCGAGCCAAAACTTTTGCTCGAAGATGATTGATCAGAAAACATCGTCTGAGCGTATATATTCAAGCAAGGAAAAACGGCCAACGAATCTCACTCATTGTGTGCAAAACATTGAGCAGCAACACTTAGTCTCTGGTGCACTTTCAGCTATGGTTTCAGCTCTTCCAAGACTGAGGTAAAGGACTTGAGGACGGAGAGCGTGGATATTGACCTGTACCTGTAGAAATGAAGAATTAAAAGAAAGCCAACCAATTGAGCTCTCGTCAAACTACACAGAAACTTTTAGAGAGATTTGGCTGTGTCAGCAGTAAAATTTGAAAGTTTCTACATGCGACTGATAAGGCCTTCCAGGGCTGGAACTATCTTTCATAACTCTAAGAGTACGAAGGCTCTAGGTTTCGTTGTAAGCGCAGCTCACAGTAGGTGTTCGCCGTCAACAAAGTGAGAGGATGGCCGCGGTTGGAAGCAGATGAACAGCTGAGAATGACTCCAAAACTGGACGTCCTTGAAAAAAGTCCTGCTTGTTCATGATGAAACAGTATAGGACTGGCCCACTATGGAGTGCTGATTGTTGGTCAGACAGTTACAGCTGAACCCTGCGCACAACAGCCAGCCCGCGTTGGCCAAGCGCTGCGTCGTCAAGTGGAAATCCGGCCATTATAAAACTATGGCACGATAACGCAGGACCACATGTCGCGAAAATTACGCTACAAAAAATCGGGGAGTTGGGCTAGAACGTTCTACCTTCGCGCCATATAGCACAGATCTGGCGCCGTCCAACTATCACTGACCCAGGTCAATGCCGCGCTCCTTAGCAGCAAACCAATTCAATAACCGCGACGACGTCAAAATTTGAGTACCTAACTTCTTCGAGTCGTACCTGAAAGAGTTCTACGAGGTAGGCCTCCATGCTTTGCGTAACAAAAGGTGAAGAGTGGATGACACACATAAAGGAAATAATTTAGGTTGATGTGCTTTGGATATAGCTTTTATACTTAAAATAATCGTTGATCAAAAACGACATTTCAAAGTTACCAACCTAATATTTCACATAAGGCGGCCAAGATAATAACTGCTATAATCATGCAACCCATTAAACTCAAAACGTAAGGAAACGTACAGACAGAAACGACCGTGGTTCCTCTGACGACCAGAGGTTGATATCTGTTACGTTGCATACGAACGGTGGTTCTTCTACCACGGCGAGGTCCCATGACATACTCTTCGTAAATCGAGTCATAGTCATCCGCAGCTTGAGCAGTGATATCTTCAGGATAAAAGGTTAGGGGTGCGGAATTTCCATTCACTTTGCTGTCTTCAGCTCGATCACCTGGATGAAAATCATAAGAAATTGAGCACAGAGAAGTGTTCAGTGGTGATATTCAGCATTAACCGATTACGTCCACACTATAGAAACAAAATGTTCACAACGAATTAGTCCGAAGAAAAGAACGTACCGTGCTGAAAATCATGCCTTGTACTTGGATTTCCGGAAGCATTCTCGTCCACAGGGATTGAAAAATTCATACCACACACCCCTGAAATTGCCTAATTTTGAGCGCATGAGCCACAGTTTTGGATAACTACCTAAATACTGAACAATACATGATCAGTAAGATGCAGATATTCAATGGAACTACTGTACAAATGCAATGTTGACTCACCATACTGGTTCAAATCCTTTTCCTCGTCTTCTAGTTTACAAGCACAATGATCAATGAGGTCCACTAGGCGATTCATACCAACTTCAAAAGCCGATAGACGTAACATTCTGAACCGTCGCTGTCCCACATCCAGCACTCCAGTGTAAGCAAAATCCACCAACATCTTCATGTTTTCACTGAGAATAAACAAAAATAAGTGCAAGAAAAAGCTGTAAACTACAGTTTTTCGAACACATAATTAGTCCTATCAAGTTTGAGAGCAGATGAATTAGTTTTTTTCCCGAAAAGAGAAGGAAAGGGTCCGCATAGAACAATTTTCCGGCTTCTTACGCTAATCATAACTTTTCCTATAGAAGTGAAATCATTCTTTCTCTTCTACGCATTTTCAAATTAGAGGTAGCAATTACTTATTTTTACCCATACTACCCATTTTGGCCTTCCTCAAAAGTCCCACTGCATGTACAATAATAATAGGATCATAGACAAAAGATTGGAAATGTTTTTTTTGGATATCGAACTGCAACCCTTCTTGATCCGACAGCCTTGAAACTAGAATCCAACAAATACGAAAATCAAAGAAATAGTATCCTACGTAGAAATGTGAACACTGCGTGAATCGATCCGAAGTGTGACTGTGCCGCTATTCGAAGTGCCCATTAGAGCGGTCTCTAAGTTTGCGCTGTGCGCACACATCACCAGTCGATGACAACGAACTATAGCCAAACGCTGAAAAAGTTACTACCATGCTATAGGCATATCAATCACGACAAGCTGAATCAGTATCAAAAAACTTCACTTGTAAGAGAAAAGAGCAGAATGAAAACACTCAATATGACACATAAATTTCGCGATACAAAGAGCAACTGTGCTGAAGTACGACTGGCTTACCTCTGTGACAATATTACAATCGAGAAACTTCGACTCCTTCCTAAATCTGGCTAGTTGTTCTTGGAAACGAATTTCATGCCACTCATCATGCAGGTCGCACCCATCCTCGCTGGTCGAGTTAAGTAGCTAAATCAGCACTGGAGATGTTAAAGGTTCACCCTGCGAAGAAAAGGGAACACTTACATCTACCAAAGCGTTACAACCAAGAAATGTTGCCGCATGTTGAAGCTGTTGGGAGAATCGACAAGAGCCAGTGTACATATAGTCTATTACTTGAACGAGAGTTTCTTCGGAGATACCTAGTAATGAATAAAATAGAAGCGGTGCATAAACCTACTTAGGCATAGCATAAACAAAATGAGTGACAACTAGTCACCAGCAGAAGAAATGAATTGAAGAAAAACCTAAACTTCATAAGACCGTGAATTTGGAAGCATACCGGTATTGCACTCTGCCTTGCGACAACATAGTAACCACAATTGACAAATGACAAATAAAATTAAAAAAAAATATTGTTTTCAAGTCCTGACCTTGTGCGCACAACCCTGCCAGTATTGTGAGAATTACATTGTACATAGAACTGCCGATTTGACGGCATATATTCCATCTAATCTGCCCGCCATTTCCTCTCCATTATTATAGGTTTACGGGTTACTTGAACTTTGGCCCTGCCACAAATGGCGGAGAACACAGACGATTAGGCCCCTAGCTCGGCTTTACATTCCTAGAGGAAGGTGGATGCCCTGGATTGTGACAAAAGTTTGAATGTGTGAGATCACACTGGTCAGCTGCTGTTTAATCGAGAGAGCGCAGGCGAGAACACTAAATTGAGGTGGTTTACAGAACCGGGTTCAAGTCCATCGACCCATATTACGGAATGTGATATTAATCTAGCGTCACCCTCTCGATACTCTATTCTCTATCTATTCTCTAAATAAATATAGAAATCAATACTAGGAATAGAAAAAAACCAAAACAAATAAATAAATCGTGAGAAAACATGTGGAAAAAATGCTAATTCCTAAGATGAATCTAAAAGTAGCCGATATCTTGAAAAAGAGAAACTAACCAGTAGCCACAGGATCAAAATCCAACGTAACTACTCCGTTTGGAGCTTTCAGCAAAGCTTGCTCGATATTCGTACTGAACGCAGCAACTAATAGACGATTCGATCGAGCAATTGTTTTGTTGCCATTTTCGAAAAACCAAGTCAAGATGCCGCTCGTTCTGTAAAAACATACAGAAGTTTAATTATCAATCAAATTTCAACTAATCTCACAACGCATTCAGGAAGGGAACTGCGAAACAGCAAATTGCAAATTCGACATACATTGCTTCAACCTTATTTACTCCTCATTTGTTTCAAAAATGCATCATCGCACTTGTGGTGTGAAGTGTACACCAACTGAGACAAATTACAATAGATACAATTCCAATCTATATTGGCAAATCTACTATATGAGCAAATCTACCTTATGTAATCGATTGCTGTAACTCCTGTTGGAAGCTAAACTTCGAGTCTCAGCCTAATATAGCCGAGTGCTGCCAACGAAAGGTACAGTACAGGTAATTTGCACACTGCAGGGAAGTGAATCAGTCGCAAAAACTTCCAACGGTGGAAAAGAATTATACTCAAACTGAACAATGATGAACTATTGGCCGCTTATGGCACAACCCTAGAATTGGGGATAGGCTGACCATTCGGCCGGTGGTGCTTCGAGGAGATTTGGAAAATTACAGAATTTAATGGTCGGCCAAGTGAAGCAGTTCAGGCTTTAGCTCGATTGACTTAACATTGCAAAGGTTGCTGTGAATACCATTCAAAGCGAGACGAAAAAACTCCTCGCACACAAGGGCGCCGTTTAGAACGATGCTCTACCCCTAGGTTTCCTTGTTATGCTTAGAAGCAATCACCACACGGCCAGTGTCAATTCAGCTGACTTCGATTTTTCAGCTTTCATATCTCGTCCGACGGAACGATCATATATATACGAAAGCGCCCATGATGACAGCGGACATCATCGAGCTCGGACTAAAGGTCGAAGGAACTTATAAAGTGTTTCTGGTGTTACACAAACATTTCTCCATCTAATGGAGACTCTTGCCCAGCATCCGCATTTCATGATCATGAAAATCGGATTTGGTGCATTTAGAGCGAAATTTCAATGTGTGTTGGCAATTGATGGAATGCTGATCTATTTGGAATCAATTCTAAAAGCATTCAAGAGCGCATTTATAGTCTGTCGTCCGATAGTAACGATGTTAATGATCGCACAGCATTAGATACGTATCTATCATTCGAACGCGTCGGATGACCACAACGATCGATACGTACCTAATACTTTTACGTTACGATTGGACAACCGACTATGAATGTGCCCAAAAAAGCGATAGCACCAAAACGCTTGTATTTGTTAAAAGATTCCTCGGGCCTATTCCGGTTAGGGGGACATTGCGTGTGCACATCCTGCTCTACGTCGCCAAGTTTGGCTCAGTAGAAAGGGCAAAGGAATCCTCTAAAGGTCACCAAAGTGCTATCAGTTTTTTCTAACGTTGTTTTTTCTGGTTTTTGCATTATGTGGTGTTCTTATGCTCTAAAAATAAAACGTCAATGAAAAGTAATATTTACTTAGTATTCAGTTGGGACTAAGCCTAGGACGAGTGAGGAAAACTCTCCCCGAGAAAGCGATGATTGCTCACGAAGCCGGGGTTTTCCCTCCATTTTAGGCTAGTAGAAGTTGTTAGTTATTGTTTTTGTTTCTGTATAGTCATTCTAAAGTTTTTCAATACTAAGGGAAGCTATCCCGTTCACCATTCCTCCCTATATTATACAAAAATTACAAACCTCGGCTGGCAAATATACTTGAAGGTTAATGACGCAGTGCTCCTCCGACGGTGTAACGGTCAAAATCGTCAATCGACCAGTTAAAGCTGCATGATCCCGGCGCTCTTGTTCGCTTCAATTTGACAGCGGTTTTTCTTCCTGATTCGATGGACCGGCAACATCCATAAAATAATTACAGATTGCGGAAATCAGATCAACAATAGAAATTCGACAGCGAATCGTGCGCTCCATTTACACTACAGTAATCCTAACGTTGCGCTAGAGCGCAATAACTCGTGCAGCAGGGATGAGCCCGTGAAAGGTAATGTTGTTTATTTCTTCTCTAGACATCTCTATTCAACGCTTTTTTGTCTCACTAAAGAGTGGAGACTGAAGAAGTACGGAAATAAATGTCACCCCAACTCTGTTTTTGTTGAAAACATCGTGCAGGAAGCGATTTGAATCTATCTTGCTCGACACTTTGATTCAAAGCCCTTGATGAACTAAATTCATTAATTTCAACTCAAGAAGTGGCTCCTGACTCTGCTTTTTCGCCTCGTGAAGAAGGAATTGCTGAGCTGTAGTCAGTAGGAGAGGCGGCAGTGGTGTAGTGGCGAATGGACAATGCTTACTACACGCACGGTCCGGGGATCGAAACCTCGGTCGTGCATCGTTCGAGCCAACTAAAGCCTTCTATTCCTCCGGGATCGATTAATTGGTAGGCCAAATCGCATTCATTCGTCACTACGAATGAAGAAATGAAAGTAGAATGTGTGCCGCACCCCAAAAAGGGAGTGATCAACAGCAGATGCTTTATCCTTTTTAGTCCTAGGTGTGTAGTGACTGGTAACACTTTGATGATGCTCTTGGTTTGTTTTTTACGAACACCTTATGCAGCATTTCAAATTTATTTATTTATTTATAAATAATGATTTTATTTATAAATAAAGAAATAAGACATCTACTCTAAATCATATAGATAAAACTTCTACTCTCTCGTCTTTCCATTCCATCTTCTTTGAATCAGTATTTTCACTTCTCAAATCGTTTCCTTCAATTCCAAAGTAATCGTCGGCGGAAAATGCCTCCGGGAGCGGCTGCAGGAAAGGGAAGAGACGAATTCCGGAGATGATGACATTTGCTTACGCACTTCGATTCCTCATTGCTCGCTTCCAAGGTTCCGTCCTAATCATAAACTTTCCCAAGATCTGACAAGTTGTTACAGGCTATCGTCCCTCCCCTGAGCCAGATGGCGTCTGTGTACTTGTGATATGAAAAGCGAAAACCGCTGACAAAGAGGACCCTCTCAATATAAGATCCCTGGCTGGGGGTGGTAAGAGTCGGCGTCGACAATTCAGGTGGCGATAAGTCATTACGGACAATAAGCCAACTAAATTATTTGCCGCATTAAACTATTTCAGAGATCTGACTTCCCGTTTCTATCAGTGCTAAGACGAGTCATACCAGAGCGTATGCACCGCAGGGCAGGGTCGCTCCTATCGTTGGGACTCTTTCTAAAATTTTTATGACCCCCTCCTTCACGACAGATTTCATACGACCCCTTCTTCACAACTGATTTTTCGAAAAACACCGTCGAGCAGAGGGAGAGTATATACCTCCCATGAAACCACAAAACTTTCCTCTATTACCTTTACTTTCCCCACATTTTCCCTCCATTTTACCTGTTTTTTTTTAGTTACCTCCACTACAACAACTTATAGGGGAGGGGAGTATAGTATTACGCACGGCCGAAACAGAAATCTTTCTACCCCACGTCGCTCATCACCTTCTCACACGTTCGGGTTGTACTTCGTGCTACTGAAACAAGTTACTTCCCTACCCCCAAACTCCAACGAACTACGACCCCCCTCCCCGTTGGTACTGGTTCCAACGTAGGGTTGACCCTGCCGCAGGGTCAAGCGTGCGTTGAGGAATCCTCGACAGATCGGCAGGGAGGGTCGTATTGGCCCGCAGGGAGGGAGAGATCGGACCGGATCGACGCAGTAGTATCATCACTGTCTATGGAAATATACTAACGAGAATGGCTCAGTCCGGCCATTTGTAATGAGGTGTAGTCCGCTGTACTCGTCTTGCGACGCTGAGCTCAAAATCCGTTTCTCGGTATCTGCGGAACGATTCTCTGAAAGAAGTTACGAGGGATTCTTCTCACTGTGGCTTTCTCACTATGGCGCCCTTCGTAACTAGAACGGAACCCTTCGAAACTCGGGCTTTGCATTTTTTCAAGGCTCCTCATACAAACCCAAGATGTGTTTATATTTGGTCATTTTAGCTGTACTCGTTGAAAGAAAGTCAATGCAGCGAAAAAGTACCTTTCGGCGATACTCCGGTAAGGATCCTCAACGTGGTCATTTTTTATATAGTGGACGCATAAAGCTGCTCTGACTACTACTGAATAGAGCAAGTCATCTAGCTTATAATGACATGTTATCGTTTCAAAAACTGACCGCTTTTCTACGGAATGTGGCCTTTGAAATGTAAAAACTCATTAACTTTTCTTCGCGTAATTTGCAAAAAATTCCCTGCAACGTGGCCTATTTTTTGAGTACTAGACGTATTAAGCTGTTCTAGCGACAACTAAATAAAGCAACTTTCTAGTTTTGTCAGCCCTATTAACTTTACAGATGTGATGAAAATAAAGCAAGTTATGGCTTTAGAAAACTTAAACTCGCGCTCACCCGCTCCCTTAATTAATCTAAATTTGTTATTTCTTACTAATTTCTTTCATTCAGTAATACTATTTTCTAGTTTTTTTTTCAGTAATTTCGGGGAAAATTATACAACCTTTTTATAGCTCGGTTTGTGAAGAAGCTCGTTTCATGGATTCAGCCTCTGGGGGGGGGGGGGGGGGGGGGGCGGGGTCGCATTCCAGAATTTTCTTCGTCGCTTCGCTTGACCCAGGGTGCGGTGCGACTCGTCCGCTGACTCTCCTTTCTGCCGGGCCGCGCGCCTCCGTAGTCAAGTATCCGGAACGGGGGGAGGAGAGCGGGAGGGCGCGGTGTAGTGGAGGGAGGAGAGGGAACAGTTCGTGACGGGCTTTTCGGCAAACTAGGTGGAAACTTTACGAAACAAGCAAGGGCATGAAATAGGCGTAAATGTGCATTGCCAAAATTCTAGCATCTGACTCCCTTCCCCCTCCACCCCGCTTGACGGCCGTTTTGAAGAGATGGAGTGGATGGAGATGAAGTGCCCCGACTGGTTTTGGAATCGAATGCTGTAGAAATAGCCGTGGTGATGAGAGGATGTTCCGCTGTGTGAATGCGGCTGCGGGACATCCCAAGGCTGGTATGGTGATAGTAAGCGGTCCTATTAAGGCCATACTAAGGGACGGGCACTGGTAACTCCTCGAGTTCGGAAAATGGACAGCTGATCCAAACCTTCGGA